CAGGTAAAATTTATTTTAATACTGTGGGAAAGTTAAATTAACACTATTTTAGCATTTGAATTAACACCGGACCAACGAACCACATTTAACACCATTTTGGTTTGTATCGATATAGACCATGTATGGTGTAAATTTGGTGTTAAAATGGTCATGAAATTTTGAACAGAGTATTTACGTTTCTTTGAGAAGCATGTTCTTCTAAGTAATTTGTAATGTTGTTAAATCATCACGGGCTGTAATCAACATGTAATTATTAGCAACAAATTATAAAAACATTTTTGTAGATTTTGTTGAATTTTGGTGAAGGGAAAAAAATTTAAATTTAACATTTTCTGTAAATTTTAGAGAAACTTTGGTATTTTTAACCTGGAACCAAATTTTGTTTCAACCTTATTTTGTAGGTCCGTCAGGGTTATAAGTTGATTTCGTGCAAAAGTCATCATTTAAAATCCCTTTTTAACCTGTTATTGGAGCTGTCTCGCCAAATTTTCTATGACATATTAATTCTAATTAAATGAAGTTATATACCTCGCCAAACACGAACAGGAAATTCACCTTTATTCGTGAAATAATAGGATTTAATTTAAAGTATTTTCTGTTACGATAAAAACAGGGTTTTAGACTAAAACTTTTAGCTATGGATTTGTTAATAAAATAAAAATCTTTTTCGAATAAATAATATATTTATTAGAGATAATCTGATATAGTAGCACTGCTGATCACTGAGAGTAGTTTTTAAATTAGATGACATGTTTAGTACGTTTCGTTGTATTACAGTATTATTATTGTTTTGGTATGAAAAAAGGCCAAATTTACTTTTTTTAATCACATTTATATGTAGCTTAGTGTCATCTAATCTAAAATGTTTAAACTAAAATTGACGACATGCACAAATATATCTAAATCTAAACAATCTGTAGGTATTGCTGCTAAGTTGCGATTTTCATAAATTTATTTCAGGCATAAAATTCACAGTTATGATATGGTGACTTCCAAAAAGTTTATTGTTTTACTTCTATTTACAAAACAAATTAACAATCAAACATTTTACGTTAAGGCTTTAATCCAAACATACAAAACAAAGATTATTGTCGTTTTTATAATGCTGGCCTCAACATTTTTATTTGTACCAAATAATGCCTGAAATAAATTCCAACAAACCAATAATTATACTAATATAAATACAGTACTGCAAATTTTCAGAGAATTATATATGTACAAGGTTACTTAATCTAAGTATTTACAGTTTATAAATAAATATCGACGAATTATTTAAACACAACTACGTTATTAATTGGATATGTCACCTTTATTTACAGTTGAAAATTCAAACACTGGATTTTATTTTTATAGAATTAAATTATATGTACAGCATAAGTTATAGTAGGTTTTTAATAAAATGACGTGTTTGAACTCTGTGTAGGAGTGTTTAAATTTTTACACACAGAAACGATACACTTCACAAAGTTTACTAAAAATATTTAATGGCCACTTACACCGAAAGTTTAACAGTGGTTTTATTTTTAACACAGGTGTATTTTTCAAAACTGGCTTGCACCGTAAATTAATCCTTGTTTAAATACCTCTAAACTACAGTTAAAATAAACCCCCAATTTCGGTGGTTTAAATTACTTTAATCCACCGTTAACGATTTATAACCTCAAAAGTACTAGTCATCGGTATTCAAGATCTTTTTTTTTTCAATGATATTATTTATTGACATCTTTAGCAAATCCAATAACTGTAGTTATAGGTATAGAGGTCAGCAACTCTATAATGAGTCACTACTAAGATCCAGAAATATAATGGAAAGAGTATTTGGAATTTGGAAAAGAAGGTTTCCAGTGTTGGCATATGGCTTAAGATTAAAATTAGATACAGGTTTGTCCATTATTCCAGCTACAGCTGTACTTCATAATATTGCTAGAGATATGAATAAACCAGAGCCGCCATTGCCTACTAATATTAATGCCATGAACTGTTATTACTCATCCACAAGATCGCATTAAGTTTAAAAATAAATTAATACAAGATTATTTTGCGAATTTATAAAATTCAATGTTTTATTTAATTTATACTTATTTAAAATTAAAATAAAATAATTAGTCACTTCTTGTTTATTATTATAGTATATTAAGTTTTTCTTTTTCATCCTTTTTATTGTTAATTTTCTGCTCTAATTGTTTTAGCCCTATCTGTCTCTTTGTTTTCAATGAAACCCTTGTATCCACACGATTAATTAAATGATTTTTTTCATTTTCTGAAAAATTTGAGGAGCGAGACCTCTTTTTTTCAGGTTCTGTATCCATATTATTCTCTCTTACCATCAACTGAATCGGTCGTACATGAAATAGAATCGAACCACAGATGATAAAAAATCGAACCACAGATTTGAAAGAATCGAACTCTTGGGGCCGGTTTTTCAATTAGGGTTTAAACCTTAGTTCAGGGGAACTTAGATCAGTTAATGAATTCAGTTTACAGTCAAATGAGTTTTTCAATGTCGACTCAACAGCAGTTCTGTTGAACTTAGATCAGCGGTGTCAACGTTAAGTTGGTACAACCGAATTTAGTATACGCCTACATTAATAGTAGTTAAAACTGTCATTTTGACAAAAGGATTTTGTGTTTACTTTAGGAGATTTGTTTATCTGTGCTATTTTAAAAAGTTCCAATCTGTGCGAAAGGTTGCTTTAAAACAATTTACTATTGTTAAAGAACAATAATTATTATTTATTATGGGTAAAAATCGTGCTGCCAACTTTACTCTTTTAAGGAGGAATTATTTGTATGTATTTCGTTTTATAATATAAAATGAATTTGTCGATTTTTGTTACATGTGATCAATTTTACTAAAATCTATTACCTATTCAGTAATTATTTTTATAACTAACCTTTTGGTCGGATTTGCAATAACTGGTCTAATTAAATTCATTATCCTACTATCGCTAACAAAAAAAACTCATACAGCTATATTGTGGCTGTGTGAATAAAACTTTTTTGTCAATGTCAAGCTGACATCGAGCTTTGTCACATCCATTATGACTTTTTTAACATTTTTAACCAAACAATGCAGACGAACTCTGGCAAGCCATTGAAGCCATTTGGAACGAGATAAAGCAAGACGGCGACTTCCATGCTTTGCCGTTTGCGGGCAGTAATTGACAAAAACAGAGGGATGACGAAATATTTTTTTTTCAAACTTTAACCTAACTTTGTATTTAATTCAAATGTGACGTATCATTTGAAAGGTCTAAAATTAAATACAAAGTTAGGTTGAAGTTTGAAAATCTATAGATTTTTAAGCTGTATGAGTTTTTTTTGTTAGCGATAGTACGTACAAAAGGTTTGTAAAACCGAAATCTGGCAAAAAATTCATCATTATTCCACCTTTCAAAATGATTCGGTCTTACCCGTGGCCTGTGCACACGAAGTTAAATATTATTTAGGAATTTGCCAATTTTCTCATCATCCTCACTAACTACCTCAAACATATCCATTGGTTTATCATAACAGCAGATCACAAAATAAGAAATAAACAACGTAATACACAATAAAGCAGAGAAAAATTAAGTTATGTCAAGTTGAACTTCGTTTAAACGGCCAACGGTGACGGTTCATCTTTTGATACAGTTTAAACCAAATTCAAGCTTGAACTTTGATTGAAAAACGGCATATTTTGTTTGAACCAAGTTCAAATGCTGAACCAAGTTTAAACTATGATTGAAGAACCCACAGACCACCAAAACAAATGGACGGCGCCATTCAATAACAATGCTTTGTTTGCGGTCAACAAACGGTCACAGTCTAAGCGTCAAATTGGATATAGAATTTTATGTTTTCTTCCAGTGACGTCAACAAACGGTCATAGTCTAAGCGTTAAATTGGCGATAGAATTTTATGTTTTCTTCCAGTGACGTATTGGGATTTAAAAAAATAATACGTAGGTAGGTACTCCCTGGCGAAAATAAAGCGTGCACGAAAAGTGTGCAATAAGTGTGTATTTAGAGTGCAAGTCTTTATAACAATGCGCATAGACGCTATTTTGTGGTAATGTTACACTTTTTGAAATAATTTAGTTTTTTCACTCTTTATGCACATTGACATCACGCTTTTTATTTGTCACTTGTCACGCTTATATTAAATTATTTTTTTCACATTGTTTGCACAGTTTTAGTACAATTTTGCAAAGCTTCAGTCTATCTTACGCATGTCACATTTTATACACACTGTTAATGTGCTATACAAAGGTGTAATATAAGCGTGATAAATGGAAAATTTTTGGTTTTGGACATTGTTTCATGTTCCATTTCCCACCCTCTGCACATTGTTCTCAAATAATTTTGCACACTTTTTGCACGTTTCATTTTCGCCAGGGCTTACAAACGATATTTCCATGTATTGTTATTTTTAGTAAAAAATAATGTATTTAAACTCCATAATTAACTTAAACACGATAGAAATACACAAACGAAAACACAAAACAACAAGCTGTCAACCTTTTTCTATGCTGTCAAATATGACGAATTTACCAAGGTTATTAATATTTAATTTTAATAATTATTAAATGATTTACTTTCTTTAAATAGAGAAAAATATCTAAAGAAAATGATGAACAAATCCTTTTTACATTTTTTTATTATTCAAACGAATTACTGGTAATTATTAATAATGTTCATTATGTTATGATGAACGTCCAAAAAGGCTGTAATCCATACTTCTGACAACGTTGGAAGCCGTGTTTCTTTCGACGGTGTTTAGAATGTGAAACTATGCTTTACTCGCTTTTTAAACGTAAACAAATCCGTCCATTTGTTTTGGTGGTCTGTCTTTTCCATTTTTAGTCAAATTCCCTAGATCACTAGTTAAATTTTAAACCATAGTAAAAAAATCACGGTGCAAGATTTTGGACATTAATCTACTTGTCAGTTTATTTAACTGATCAGTTAGAGAAAACGGTGCAAGTGGCCCTAAAACTTTCTCAAATATTTTTAGTAAAAAATGTGTGAAAGAAACATTATTGCACAACATATTAACCATAACAACTGTCCATAGGATCCTTTCAAGTGTTATTCAACAAGGACTCTATGCTGAAAGGGTTCGGTCGGCGCATCTTCTCGTCCTGCGTCGCCGCCGTGAGATCGACGCCGGACTCGGACGCGTTCGAGTACAAATCGGCGTCGTTGCCGTTGAAACTCTCCGACTCCGCCCCCGAGTCCCCCACCACGTCGATGTCGCTGTCGCTGTCCAGCGCGTCGACTCCCCGCTGAGTGAGGTACTCTCTCTTGAGCGCCACCAGGTCGACCGCGATGCCTTTGGCGCGCAGCTTCCTCGCTTGCCGTTCGAGCGCTTTTTGGAGCTTTTTCCGGCGGCGGGCGCGCTCGCGGGCGCGGAGCTCGTTGGGGGGTATCGGCTCGCCGGAGCAGGATTGCGGGTGTGCGTTGTGAGCGGGCCGGCCGGGGCCCTTTTTCGTGTGCTCCTTCTTTCTCCATTTGGCGCGGCGGTTTTGGAACCACACCTGTAACAAAGGAAATAAAACATTAGGAATTTTTCTCTTGCGCAAGACTTGCATCTTGTAAACATTTGATCTTGCCTAAAACCAGAGCTGGGAGTATCTTGAAAAAAAAAAAGATACTTGAAAGTAACTTAGGGCCGGTTTTTCAATTAGGGTTTAAACCTTGGTTCAGGGGAACTTAGATCAGTTAATGAACTCAGTTCACAGTCAAATGAGTTTTTCAATGTCGACTCAACAGCAGGTCTGTTGAACTTAGATCAGCGGTGTCAACGTTAAGTTGGTACAACCGAATTTAGTATACGCCTACATTAATAGTAGTTAAAACTGTCATTTTGACAAAAGGATTTTGTTTGTTATGGAGTTTTGTTTATCTGTTCTGTTTTAAAAAGTTATAATCTATGCGAAAGGATGCTTTAAAACAATTTACTATTGTTAAAGAACAATAATTATTATTTATTATGGATAAAAATCGGGCTGCCAACTTTACCTCTTTTAAGGAGGAATTATTTGTATGTATTTCGTTTTATATTATAAAATGAATTTGTCGTTTTTTGTTACATGTGATGAATTTTACTAAAATCTATTTATTACCTATTCAGTAACTATTTTTATAACTAACCTATTGGTCGGATTTGCAATAACTGGTCTAATTAAATCCACTATCCTACGTACAAAAGGTTTGGAAAACCGAAATCTGGCAAAAAGTTCATCATTAATCCACCTTTCAAAATGATTCGGTCTTACCCGTGGCCTGTGCACACGAAGTTGAATATTATTTAGGAATTCGCCAATTTCCTCATCATCCTCACTAACTACCTCAAACATATTCATTGGTTTATTATAACAGCAGATCACAAAACAAGAAATAAACAACGTAATACAAAATAAAGCAGAGAAAAATTAAGTTATGTCAAGTTGAACTTCGTTTAAACGGCCAACAGTGACAGTTCATCTTTTGATTTAGTTTAAACCAAATTCAAGCTTGAACTTTGATTGAAAAACGGCATATTTTGTTTGAACCAAGTTCAAATGCTGAACCAAGTTTAAACTATGATTGAAAAACCGGCCCTTAGAGATAGATACTTTATCTTACGTACTTTTTACATTGGACAGAAACTATCTTTAACTAAGTTACTTTGGAAAAGTATCTTGTAACTGGCATCTAAAAAAGTATCTAAGTTACTCGGTAAAGTAACTAAGATACATTCAAGAAACTTAGATACTTTAAAATAACTTGGATACTTTTTACTGTTACTTAGATACTTTCTTAGAGAACATTGAGGGAATTCCAAAATAATTCAAAGTAATTATCTAACCTACAACTTGTTGAATTTTCATAATTTTATAGTTATTATTTAAAACTTAAAAGTAACTTAGTTTCTTAAAAGTATCATAGTTACTCAAAAGTATGTTAGATACTTTCATATAGTATCTTAGATACTTTCTGATAGTATCTTAGATACTTTTTAAAGTATCTTGTAACTAAAGATACTTTTAACTCGAAGTATCTAGTTACCAGAGGTAACTAAGTTATTGTGTTTAAAGTATCTTAGAAAAGTAATTAGATACTTTTCAAAAGTAACTTTCCCAGCTCTGCCTAAAACTGGCTTAAAATTAAATAGTAAAAATTCTACTATTTGAGTTAGTACCAGCATTTTTTACTAATAAAATAGTAGTTTTCATTTTAAAATACTTATTATTAGTACTTAAATAGCTAAAGTTTGACTAATTTAAGATAAGTCGCCATCTTTGACTGTTTCTAAGACTTAAAAAGAACTAATTACTTTATTCGTTTGCGGCCAACAACAAATTATTGTTTGAGTTAAATGCATATAGGCTCTATGGTTAAATGGCCCATAAAAACAATATGTATAGACAAATAAAACTGATTTTTATAAAAGGGACTAATAGCGCATTGGTATGACATCCGCTAGACAACCCATATTAGTACTTATGGTATTAATATAACACAATACATGTTAGACGACAGGGGTGCACATAGGGGGACAAGTAGGGTTTTATAAGAAAAAATAATATAAAAAAATTAAAAAGTTATTTTTATTTAGAAAAACAAAACAATGAAGAACTAACTCAATTTTTACAATTTTTAAATAACCTATAACATACTTTTACCTAATTTTGGTGGGTTATTTCTCTTTTGCACAAAGGCGTCCAAGTGACACGACCTTTTTTATTATTAACGACGATTTACAATTTTATTTTCCTGCATTTAAAATTAATATTTTCAAATTTGGTTTTATTGACTTCTTCTGCTTCTATAGATAGAATAGCTAAATTCGTAGTCTTCTCGTCTACTATAGGCAACTGCGTTGAACATTTTTATTATTTTTAAGAAAGAAAAAGATCTTTCTCCTGTACAGTTGGTAGCAGGAAGGCATACAAAAATCCACAGGGCCAGGGCCTAGGTTGGCCTATAGGTTAATCCAGCACTGGTCTTAATTAATTTACTTTTCTTTTTTTGTAATTATCATTCTGATATTATTCATTGTATTCATATAGGCATTTAAAATGAGTTTATAGGATTTTATCCTCTACTCTGTAAGTGATAATAATAATAATATTAAAAACCAAATTCACTAGATCTCAAAATTTTATATCGCACCGCGGTATTCACTATATATTTTTCTTATTTTAGCTCATATTAGTATATTAATGTCAATAGAATAAAGGTTACGTACCTAACCATTTAAATTTGAAATAGAGAGACTTTTTCGCATTTATAGAGGAAGTTGCAATTATAACAAAAATAAATTTGGCTTTTTATATGTAGACTTTATCCCATACGCGACGCGGCGCGATGTTACGAATTTCATCGCTAGTGCGATACATGTTATATATGTTATATATGCATAATATACATATTATGTAAGACTGCAGTCTTACATAATATGTATATTATGCATATATAACTTAGCCTCACTTTAGCTTAATTCTCTTTTTTTTGTGTTAAAATTTTTGTGTAAATTTTGTGTAAAAATCGTGTAAATACTTTTACACGAATGTTCCTAAATTGGGAATCAACACTAAAACGTATAACCACTTGTTAATTTACACGTTAATGTGTTATAAACTCATATTTAATAAATATCGTGTTATGTTACACAAAGTTGTGTAAATTTTAACAAATATCGTGTAAAATTTGCCCTTTTGCTTCTTACCCCTTTATATGTAATATATTTAAACTTTGACTTCAGGAAACATAGTGGGTAATGGCAAATTTGCCAGTTACACATGACATTTTATCTTTTTTAGGTAAGTAAGTTTTAAACAATTAAAATGATCTTGTTTCCTTTATTACTTTTTTTACATGTTTTTAATAATTTGTTTTATATAAAAATATTAATATTTTATATAATTGAAATTATAAAATATTTTTTAATAAAAGTATTTTTTTAAACGTAATTTTTATTTATCTACCCAATTTAGTGTACAATTTAATACGCTAAAATATTAAACAATAACATCATCTGGTGTTAAATTAAATGCCTAAAGTTGTGTAAAAATTACACAAACAATGTGTTAAAGTTTAATATTAAAGAATAATATTATTCTTCGTGTAAATTATTACACGATATAAAAAACAAATCAACACAATGATCTTTGTTAAAATTTTACACGATTTCGTGTGGACTTGGAATAACACAGTTTGGTGTTGTGTTAATTATTTTGGCTTGTCCTCACTTTAGCTTAGCCTTATTTTAGCTCAACCCCATTTAAATGTTGGCCTTGTCATTTTAGCTTGTTCTTATTTTTAATTGTCATCATATTAGCATTGGTGATATTTAAGCTCGTTCCTATTTTAAATTGTCTTTAATTTATCTTATTGCCATCCAAGCTTGTCTTTATTAATTTAACTTAAACCTATTTTTAATTTTTCTTATTTTAGCTCATACCTTTATAGTAATGTGATCATTTCAGCTCGTCGTTATTAACTTTTAGTGGAATGAGCTTCTTAATAAGAATATAATAATAATATTTTTTTAAAGAAGTGTGCATTAGGAAGATATACTTCACTAATGCAAAAGTGATAGGGAAAAACTTGCTTACTTTGGTGTGAACTATCATCCCCCAAGGGATGACAACCTATTAGATGACACTCTGTATACTTTTATTGGTATTTTTTCTCCTTCTCAATTTTCTCTTTAATCTAAAAGTCCCTCAACCAATTGATATTCTAAACGGATAAAGAACAACATCTTAAACTAAACGCAATCGAAAGCATCTCGCAATCGAATTTTCGAAATCCCTTACCGCCACTTTGCAACACTTTTTTCCTAACGCCTTAAATCCAGCAGGCCATCAATTTAAAAACAATAGACATATTCGCCGGATAAACTTCTTCTATTCGATACAGTTTTGGGGGCATCGATGTTGCCAACTTAGGGGTGTATCAGCGCGTAATCTTGCGGTCTGCAAATCGATCCTTGGGGAGCTAAAGTCGACCTTTTTTCTTGGCGTTTGAACGGGCTGCTGACCTTTAATATTCGACTGTATTGGCTGTCTGCTCGGGTCTTTTTTCTTTTCTCCTCTTTTTTCTACGGCTTGCTGTTGCCTTTCTTTTGAAGGTGGAAGGTTGTCAGATGCTATTTGGTGAGATTCGATTAGGGTCAGACTGGCTGACGGTTAATATAAATGGGGAATTACGGGGAACGGGGATTTATTGAGTTTTTAGAGGTAGTTTTAAGTTTTATCGCTTAGGGTTTTAGAAAGTTTAAACCGTATAAAAAAACACTTCTTAAAAATGTCATACTATAGGTTTATAGTTTATTAATATTAATGCTAAAATTAAGAATGCAAATTTTTTACTTGACTATTTAAATACCACAATTTTGAAAACTAAATAAAGTTTTTGGTACTATCTTAGATTATCGTCATTTTACCTTGACTTTGTTTTAGCTTGTCCTTGTTTTAAGTTGTCTTAATTTTAGATTTTCGCCATTTAGGGGAAGGTGGGGGAATTTTGCGCGGTGGGTAATTTTACG